CGACGTATGCACTTTGTCGCTGATACAAGGGCTGCACTTAAAAGGGGCAGCGCGTAGCGGATCATGTCCAGGTGGGTAGTTTGTGGGTGATTTTAATCATTTTACTGGACCCATTAATTAAATAACCAACCGAGATAACTGTCACGTAATAACGAAAAGTGTTCGACGAAACATATTAATAAATAGCCGGCAGTAATTTGAAAAGGCCAAAAAGTACACAAAAGAGCGAGAGTGTGGAAAAATATATTAAATGAATGAATTACTCGCATACACAAGCCATAAAAAATATTAAAAATATGTTTAATAGATAGATCGTGGCTACGCGATTGATAGAAGTAGGTAAACATCAACCGCTTTTGCTATAACAAATATCACATTACGTATATGCAAACATTGTATGTTGAAACATTGTATGTTTTATCCCAATAGATAAAAACTGAATCGGTATTAATATCCAGCTATCGTGTCGCGCCCGTAACTGCAGCCTAGCCTACTGATTTTCTTCCAGCGAATTTTTATTTACGACCGTCTCTCAACCTACCGCAGAGCCTGTCGAGCGACAAAGAGCCAAAGCCGTTAAAATCGCGAATGTGACGACCGGCGCGATTCTGTCCTCTCCGAAGGAATATTCGAATGGTCGCGTAACATACTCCTTGTGGTCACTATAGTTCCGCGAAAGTATTGCTCGGAGAGTGCTTCACGGGCCTTTATGCCCTCCGTCACTCAGTTTGTCTGTCCGACCGCAAACCTCGCGAACGGACCACTGTGGCTATTAACCCCTCTCTTCAGAGTCAAGTTTCAATTTATTAGAACCATACGAGTCTTTCTTGGATCGTTGCGGAATGGTCGCGTCCACGAACTGGAACAATAGTATCGAGAGCAGGCGAAATTACGAGTACTCACGCATTGCAAGTGAATTCACGTGTGTCGAATTGCAAACGGTTCGAAAGTCCGTCGCAAACGAAACGGAAGCGTAGCGTTTTTCTATCTGAGAGTTACGAAGGTGCGTAATGTGATGTGTTTCTCTCTCTCTCTCTTTCGCCATGATCTACCTTCATAGCTACTTCATTCTTTTCGCAATGTTACACGACGAGAGAAAGAGAAGAAACCGGCGAATGACGGATTCGTCTTACGTCGAGGACGTAAGGGAAAAAATTAATCAAAAAGCCACTCGACCTGGTAATTTAAACGCGTCGTAGCGCGCTGGAGTCGTGTATATTGAACTTCTGCTTTGTAAGCTTTGATGACGTTTCTTCTCCTCCTCTTCCTCTCTCACTCTCTCTCTCTCTCTCTCTCTCTCTCTCTCTCTCCTCCCCTCTCTTACTCGTGAGATTCCTTTTACGAGACGCGCGAGGTAAGCGCAAAGGAAGCGGAGAACGCAGCCACCTTGTCATTGTCGGGGAAGAAAGGAGGTAAAATATGAACTGGAGCAGTCGAAACGGAAGCGAACTCCTCAAAGGACCGACCATATTGAAGGCTTGCACGTTGAATTTTACATCAGCGTGCTTGTTCTCCTATTTTATTCTCATCAGTCGCGAGATTTATCACGATATTTACGCGGTAAACGCCGCGCGCACGCGGCAATCAGGTTTCATACTATTCAATAAATGACTCGGATATCAAAGTACTACGATTAAAACGAATAGCGAGAATAAATTAACGATAAAGTATGTAACGCAAACGAGCCGGTTCCGGCGGTGGTAATGCGAAATGCGCAGCTGAAAAAGTTCCCGATGTCGGGTTTCTAGTTCGCGCGCCGTCCTCCCGTCGTTGGCTTCCTTCCGCGCGCGAACGACGGAAGGAAGAAGGACGAAAAAGTTGCAGGACCCCGAAACCCCGAGCGACAGCCAATTCGCAAGCAATTCTCCGCTCACCTCGGGCGGTCCGGGAAGTCGTCGACTTTGCTAGGACCGAGACGGCGGGAAAGAAGGGCGGCGAGAGAGAGGAGGGCGGAAAGGAGCCATAAAGCTGCCAGGGAAAAACCTCACCCGCGGACCGAGAATTAATATTCCCAGACAAACGTGACAGATAGATCAAATCTGCATCTCACCGGGAGCGCTGGCTGGTGTCAATTTCGACGGATTATCGCTCCTTTCCTCATCCTCTTCCGTCTCCGCGCTTTCCCTCGACTTTCATACCGCCGGACGTAAAGCTCTCTCTTTCTCTCTGTTTCTCTCTCTCCGAGCGCGCGTCATTCTTTTGCGGCTCGTCCTCTATTTTCGCGCTGTAGCCGAAACTTCCTCTGCGTTACAGATTTTTCCAAGCTGCCGGCGAATTCGCTTAGACGAAGATGAAAAGAGGTAGAACTTTCTTTTTTCTCGCATGGATTTTCCGCGCGATTGACGAGCGCAAAATCGCGTTAGCGCCAATCGAATCGTCATTTTTCGGCGCGCCGCTCACGAGATTCGAATCTGTGGGGAAACTGCCAGAGAAACTGCGGAAGGGACCCACGCTCCCGGTTGCGGAGCACCGAGGGTCCTGGCACGTCCTGTCAGTGCCACCCCACGTGCGTGTTTCCGATACGCGTTGCCTTACCTGTTCGCATGCAACGCCCGAGAATCGACCGTACACTCACACCAGCGCACGTTTGCCCATATGGACACGCTCGTGTGGACGGCTCGTGCGGACCACGTGGCCGAACAATAGGACGATTCTAATTGGGCTTTTCGACGTGGTTGTCCGGTAGCAAAAAATCCGACAAAAAAGGCGACAAAAGGGGCTTAACCGGGGAATATCCCCGGCGCGGGCGCACGGAGGGATGAGCACGAGCGAGGAGTATTCTTATAGCGATCGTAGACCAGTTCGGAAAGGGTTAACTCTGTCTCTCTCTGTCTGTCCTTCTCTCTTTGTCTCTCTCACTTTCTGTCGGTCTCGCTGCTGGAGAACGCGTAACTAGTGGAAGGGTGGTCGGGGCGAGTTCCGCGGAGCGTGATGAAACTTTAAAGAGACACCGGTGCGCGAGCGACCGCCGATGTGCCGCTCCTCGGGAGCGCAATTATGTTCCATCGTGATCGTTGTCCTCGTTTTCCACGCCGCTACAAATGTAACAGTCAGTCCTCGATTTGAGGTCTCTTTTTTTTCCCCTCGCGTAGATTTGCATCGCCATCGAAACGAATATCCGAGATCGCCACTTGTTCGTGTAAACCATTTAAAGAAATGTATGATCGACTGCCTCGCGTAATTGAATCAGGAAGAAAATTCTCCTTCTTCAGCCGTGGAAATTTTGAGACCGTTATTAAGTGAAAATAATTTAATTGCGAGGGAAAATAGAGGTACTGACAGTGGCCGTCATCGAGGGTCGCGGGAGAAATTCGTTCTGCGTTGCAAAGCAGGTTCTTGCGTCAATTTGCACGGTTAAGCGTTGCATAAGAATCTCAAAGGAGAGACATTCGATTCGTCGAGGGTGTCGCCGGCGTGAATTTCGTTTGAGGCCGCGATGGACTCTTTGAGGTTAATCGGAGTAAACCTCAATCCCCGCTGGCGATTTGTCGGCTGCGAAATTTAAAGCAGCAGCTCTCACTTCCATCAATTGCAATAAGTGATCTTAAAAATCTTAAAAATTACTTAAAATTATTATACCGAGTAACGCGTTTTTCCTGATATTTAATCAAATAAATAACCGTCCGGTGGTATTTGAAAGAGTTAGATTCATCGTTACAAAATTGTTATTACATAATTAATTTACGTATCAGCGATAGGTTCCACTGTATTCGTCACAGCATGAGGATTGCGCTCATAAGAACTGATGAACGGAAAAACTGCAACAATAATGTTCGGATAAATAATATACGATAGCAAATTTTTTTCTTTCTATGTATAAAATAAACGACACAGTCGCGACACGAAGGCGCTTAATGCGAGTTTGTGAGCTGCGAAAAAGAAAAAGAAAGGAGTATTAGGAACGAAAGTTTCGTCTTCCGCGCGCGACAGTCGCGATCGGTTCGATTGTAGTTCAGCTCCGTTTCGCACAAAGGAGCCGAGTACGAAGAAGATAACACAGTACTTTATCCAGCACGAATGAGGACGCTCGCGCGTTAAACCCTTCGACATACGACAATGTAGTCCCGGGACAAAAGGGGGGTCATAGGATTGAAGGGCACTAGAGAAGAAGAAGGGGTGGCAGGGGGCAGGTTCACCCCAATCTTTAAGCGGGTGGTTTAAACTCAAAAATCGGATCCTACCGACCTATTGTTCGTGTTCGTTCGACCAGGTTCGACATCACATGGCGCAGACCCCGTATAACGATACTTTAAAACGCCCCCCTATCTTCCACCTCCTTCGGGCGGTCGACAATTCGCCAAAGCAGCATTTCGAACCGATAGATTTCCCGGCGCACACCTACAACGACGGAAAATCCTGACGCCCCGTTCTCGTGCCGCGCACTCAAATCTGCAATCTAACAAAACCGGCTGCGAAATTGGACAGAGAAATTCCGAATTGTTCCGTGAACGATGATCTGAGTGGGTTGCGCTTACATATTTCATTTTTCCGTATGAAACTGCGTCGCACTGAGGGAGAGAAATGGTTGATCTAACTAAAATTATAATTACTTTTGGCTCCAACCATATTTCTTGGTTGTTCTAACGAACATGGTAGCAGTAACATGTAAGTTATTAATATTGTAACAGGATTTACTAATAAGAATTATTTTCTGAATCGTAATTTGTAAGAATTATTTTTCTATATGATTATAACTATAAATGCCAAGCATTTCTCTCCTCGATGTAAGCAACTGATCTCTTTCAGAATTGCAGAGAAAGAGAGAGAGAGAGAGAATAAGAGAGAAGTTCAATTCTTAAGTTTATTAGTAACGCGCCAATATCACGAGTATCATACATCTTAGTATCTACTATCTACCCACGAATATCTCGTCCATATTCGCACTTTTGAAATCTGTTTACCAAAAATGATCGGGGAACAGCGTTGTTTAAAAAATCGCACGAGTCTGCGTCGTAGTTGAGGGGGAAAAACGGAAGGGCGAGGGGATCGCGGGATCTTACCGGAATTGACTGTGTTCGTGTCGGCGTCTACGGACTCGGTCTTTTGCTTCTTCGGCAGGTCTTCCTTGTCCTCATCCGGAGCTTCTGTCCGTCTCTTTGGCGTCGAGCTGGCGCTCGCTTTAAGGTCGATCGGACTCCCGGCGTCCGGTCCCGGACCTTGCGGCGTCGGCGGGCTCTCCAGTCGACCGCTCCTCTTGTTGATCGGTGCGGAAATACTGGGTACCGAGTTCAATTTCGAGTCCGGATCGGTCTTCAGGGCGAGGGCGTCCTCTGGGTCAGAGTCCTCCGGCGCAGCCGTCGCCGGTGGACTGTGGCAGCCCTGGAGGGTGCTCCGACAATGGTTGACCTTGTGCTCGATGAACCGGACAATCTCGCCGAGGGGGTAGGACGCCCTACAGCCCCCGCATTGGACGGTGTCTGGGGACGTGGTGTTTTGCGAGGTTTCCGCTGCAACAGGAAGAGAGAGAGACGTGTTTCGTTCAGTCACATTATGTCGTGTTTAATTCGTGTTTAATCGGATAGCGTACGAGAGTACACAGAGAAAATTTTATAAGAAAAATGAATATAGAATTTTGTAGCTGAAAAAAAGATCGACATTCTTCAATAATTGACTATTTTATTCTCATTTCATACGTACTATTTATATTTTAGGGACTGAAATGTGTGCTGTAAAAGAATTTGTTACGTTTCTAGAGAAATTTACTATATATCTCAATAAGATGGATCGTGTACTACTAGAAATACAGTGTAGTAGAAGTGTTTGTAGAAGTACAAAATGAAAAGCATTTGTTTGAAAAAAACTATAATATTCTCTCCGTAGAAGTGTTTTAATTAGATTACGTAAAAGGTATCAAAAGCTTGACATATTTTTTTATTAATTAATTGGTATCTTCGATGACACACTTTGGATTTGATGTTTCCTTCTTCCGCAACAATACTCGACGCGACTATAGCTTTCGAGTTATACACGATTAGATATGTCTCAGAGGTAAAGTTTGTAGGTTCTTATTTTCTATAAGCGAATATAATAACGTCACGATACTGGTAATACAGTTTTTCAGAGAAAGTAATACGTCTCTACGTGGACAATCACATAGTTGCGACGTATTGGCTCGTGGTGGACGTTATTTGATTGTGCTATAACATAATGAACAGCGTATTACTGCAATTGTACCGCGAAGAAACCTTTCAATTACCGCTTTCCGGCTCCGAGCCAGCGAGCGGTGAAAGCAATGTCAGTATCGGCTTATTACTATCGATATTTACGTGTTACAGATATCGTTATATAACCAATCGTAGACATGTGTCGCGTACATTATTCGCAGCGAGACATTAATCATTGCGATTTACGATACCCATTAATCTGGCGCAGCCATAATTCCGCGCCGAGGTATTAAGTCGTACAGCTCTGTACGAACAGATTGTCTTCAGCAAGTAGCCGTAAGACCCTCAATGTAATTAAACGTAATTGAACTAAATGATTTAAAACTATATCCATACTTCGTCGCAATTGAATAATGGATCTCTAACATTTATCCTGTGGCGCATCGACTGCTTTCCTGATAGATAACGGGGAGAATACATAGATATCGGTACACATTTGAGCGCCGATTGCGCAAACGAATCTACCTCTCTTGCAAGAGTATCGATTTCGGGTTGCGACGGTTTTTCCTTTTCACGATTCAATTTCCACGCCCGCGACTCTCTACGATGTCTCGTGCGGACACCATCGCCGACGGTATTCGTCTAATCCAAGCGCGAGAGAGAGCGGACTTTCCCCGGATAACAAACAGGACTAATTTCCTCTTACGCAACCGTTATAATTCACCGTCGGTCCGAGGGGGCAGAGGTCCCGGGGTCAGCCGCAGACGTAACAATTCACTTTTGAGTGTCCTTCACGAGAGAGAAATGCCATCGCGTGAGGCTCCTCTCGCGCGAGACGTCTCACGCCCTTTCTCTTTCGTACGTTTCGCGCATTAACATAGAGATTGGCAGGAGTCGCGTATATATCGATCTTTCCTTCGGCGAGTCGAGTATCCATATCTGTCCGAATGGGGCTGCCAGGCTCGCGACGAAACAAGAAAAACCCTCCGCCGTCTTGGCGATCGTTCTCCACCCTTCCTCCGCCTCCTCCTGCTCACCCTCTCGCCGTCGTCGCCTCACCCTTTGCTCGTTTCTTCCTTTGTCCTCTCTCTCGCGCACGTAATCCCGTCTCGCTTTCGCGCACGTCTCTCTTCCGAGAAACCTCCGGGTTCTTCTCCTTCGCTTTCGAGCGCTTCTTTTTGTAGCCTTTACGCCAACCCCTGTTTGTTTACCCCTGGCTCTGCTACCGTTTCCTTCTCCGTTCCTTTTCTCGGTGTGCGCTCAACACCGTTCGATTCTTTCGGGGCGGAGCTCGCTTGACCATTGGCCAAGGCGCAAGCCCGAGCTCGCTTCAACCCTTTGTAGTCCGAGTTACACCCCGGTCTGTGGGCTGAGCACGGATTTGCGGACGTGGAGTGCGAGTCAAGGACTTCTTATATCGATTGCGGCTATTTCGCGATAGATCCTTTATTTTCGTACTTGGAAGTTTCGCTAATTTGGCCATGTATTAAAAGGCGAATCCTAATCTTGGAATCTATGAAATACTTTTGTATTTTAAGTAACACATCGTTAACAAATTTTATTTTAAAGCCGCGCGAATTTATATATTAAATTCTACTCAAATTTTCCCAATGGACATGCGGAAATAGATTTTCCATGATGTCATAGAATCATCGTGAAAACGCAACGAGCCTTAACTCGACAATGTTCCATTCTGACCGCGCTCTGATGTCCATCCCACGACACGATGAACAATTCAAACGAACTCCATAAGAAAGATACTTTCGCATGCCTCATGCGTACGACCGCAAGATTCCGATAAGGATCTATCTCTTCAGCCCTTCACCGGACGAAATCGACCCGAAGTGGAGCTCCTTCTTTTTTTCGCAGCTCCTATCTGCACTTCTCCTCGTTTTTCAACGGAAGAGCGACGGTAGCAGGAAGCGAGATAAGTCCGCGGAATCTCACTGCGTCGAGACTCGTGTTCGAACGAGACAATTGTGCGCCCCGGGTGACACCCCGCGCATTCTTCGTAGGAACGCGAGATTTTCATCGCGCTCGTCCGAGATCGTCGCCGACGATCGAACGCGAGAAGAAAGGGAGAAAGGGAAAAGCGAGACGCGCGGCAGCGTTAAAAATCTGATAGTATTTTCGATAAAAGTCCCAGAGAGTAAAACGACGTCCGGTCGGGTCTCTATGGTGCTGGTCGGCGTGCTGATGGGGAAGAGGGAAAAGGTAGAAAAAGAGAAAAAACAAATCGGCCGAGCTGGCTACGTCAGCGAGAGCGAAAGGAAGGAGCCGGCGAGTAGCCTGAATGGATCTCTCTTTCTCTCTCTCTCAAGTCCGTTATGCGCCTACGATTCAAAAGCGCTCGGTTAGAAACAAGAGACGCGCGACCGGTCGTTAGCGACAATGGGCTTTTGTTTTTTCGGGGGCAGATGTTGGACCAAAACTGTCGGCAGTGTAGACCCCTCCGCAACCCCTGCGCGCGAGGACCCAGCAACTCCCGTAAGCTTAAGGTGAGCGAAGGAGGAGGACGGTGAAGAGACACGTGTCTCTTCGCCACTTCATAAATCACCCGCCTATTTATCCGCGCGCGCGCGCATCTTCCGCCACCGTTTCGTGTCGCTCTTTGCGCGCAGTGCGGAGCCCGTTTAATTATGCCCAAACTTTTCCTTTAAGAAGACTGCCACTTAATATTGATCATTCTTCGCCAAATTCTTTATTGAGATTTCGGATTAATCCAATGGTAGTTGATTTGATCAAGTCTAATCTCAATTGCTTTTGACGACCTCACGCCACTCGTAGCCTTAGAATTTCTTTGTAGGAAAATGACCCCGATTTGGAGACGACAAAGTTATCCGTGAATTTTCGAATATTTTTCACGTTTCAGAAGCGTGTTGTATTGATCATCACTTGAAGTGACGTTTGGTGAATAAGCCAGATGCGGCAAAACTTTGTAGCTCAAAAGATTAATCGTTTCTTTCACCATAAGAGGGTTATGAGGGCATACGTTATCGTGGAGCAAGATAACTCGACGGTCCCGAAAGTTCTTTTTCCAGAACTCTTTCATTCCAGCTGTCTAGCTAGAATGTGACGGTCAGTATTGACCATTTGACGCGATTCCAAAAATCGTCCAGTAATACAAACCTCCCTTCATATTTCATATACTCAATATAATTTATGACTTCTTAAGAAGTCCAGTAATACAAACCTCCCTTTATATTTCATATACTCAATATAATTTATGACTTCTTATTCTTGCTCTTAAGAGTCTCATAATAGATTCATTTTCCGTTACGAATCACGATCTTCCATGAAAAATCTTTTTTCTCTCAAAACAGATCATAAAACAATTACAGATGTTAAAAATCATAAGTGTCAAAATGTGCCAATTCGATTGCACATTTTGAATTCACATAATTACAGGAAGAGAATCCGCGAAAAGAACCAACCGACACCTCTAATAATCTGTAAAGTTTTGAAAATTTCAATGAACACGTTGATTCGAACTTGTCGAGTATTCCGAGTGAGGTGTTTCGAATAATTACTTTACGATGATGTTCTCGACACCGAAGCGTAAATTTCATCCTCGTTGTCATTATCAAAATGCCATAAAATCGCGTGCAATGTCGACAAAACGCGATGCGCTTCTGTTTCCAATGACGACAATTACCTCCGCTATAAGAACGGAGACGATTGTACTCGTACGAAGATTACGTATACGAGAAAGTGAGGAGGAAGGAGAAAGTGAATAGCGCTGAAGGAAGATAACGTAAAAATATAATATTGTCCCGCGAATATAGGCTGGATTGCTTACAAATTGGCCTATACATCCATAATGTCGCGATCGCCAAGCTGGGTGGCTCCCTTATTGCGCGAGCGTCCTTGTAATTTCCATCTACGAGTGGGAAGGACGCGTACGGGAATCTCTGCGGGAAACGTTCCGAGGTTATTAGTTTTCCACATTAATTTTCCTTCTTATGTCCTTAGCAAGATACACCAGGCCGGACGGAAAATCGATTCCTGGCGATAGTCTGCGCCCGCGCTCAAGAGAGAGAGAGAGAGAGAGAGAGAGAGAGAGAGAGAGAGACAGAGAGATGCCGTAGTTTCCTTTTAACGCGCAGGAGAGAGAAACTTCGGTCCTTGAAAATCAATCCAATTCGGCCTTAATGATTTAACCGTGTCCGTCGACAACTGCAATTCCTCCGAGTTGAATTTAATTTGCAACTTCGTAACTTTTGTACCTACGCCGCATACACAGTATTTATCCATTAATTCACGGAGACGAATGGGTTAGAGGGAGAATAGAGAGAATAGCCGATGAGAAATGCATTATTCGTTCTACGTTCAATGGGAAATGCAATTTGAATTTAATCGAGGATACAACATTTTCCAGTATAATCGTCGATGACCGAGCCTGGCGTATCCCGCGACGATTGACCGTCTTCAGTTTCATATTTGCGATCTGACGTTAACAACGATCCTCCTCCTCCTCCGCGTCGTATATTTAACCATCGACCGCGGCTGCGTCTACTACGGCCCGTCGTTTTTCCACAACGCAACGTAACCCCATACGACACGTATACGTCGATGGCTACACAGAGAAACACAGGCGGAGATATCCCGAGGCGATGTCCTTGTTAGGACATCCGTCCTGTCAAAACGTCCAGAGGACACATCGGAGCAATTGAATTACTATCATCCCCAGGGGGAGCTCCGACCGTAACCAGTAATTCCATTATCGATTAGTATTGGGTCGCGGCAATTTCCTTCGCCGACCGAGGAGGCATCGGACGCCGCCGTCGCCGTTGCCGTCGCCGTCGCCGCGACGACGGCGTACGTGGCAGCCGCCGATCCTGGCGAAACCTACAGAAAGCGATCGGAAAACGGATAAATTCCCGGCGCACGTCCGTATCGACACACGCGAGATGGACAGATCCGTGACGCGATCGCAAATACCGTCTTATCCATAATAGAACGTCGTCGCGTCATTCATCGGCGCCATATGGGCGTTTCGCGGGCGAAGCGAAGCGTTTTTGCAGACTTTCTCGAGCGTGATTGGTTTCAGCGTGACTTGTTGTTAACGTAATTCAATGTATCGCATTTTCCTTCCGTCTTGTTTTCAATCTAAACTAAAGAGGTCTAAACTTACGCTCTGCAAGAGCCTAATCGCATTTCTTTGGCGTGACCGCCAATGATTCACACAAGAATCTTGTTGTTTGAAGCAAGTTTGACGTACGCGCCGAATTACTCCTCGGTCTCCTTCCCTGTTCAATCTGTTTGTTAATTCCCAATTAAAACGGTATTGAATTTTATAGTTTTATATTGCGAAACGAAGACCAAAAATAATTCGGCACATGCGTCTTTATATATATCCAAAAGTTCTGTCCTTAATCTTTACGATTGACACGGAAACACGGCGGTGTAACGACCTCGCAGGGGGATATTTGTGCCAGATATAAATATAATGAAAATTAAAATTTTCAGTGTCTGAATAAAAGTCGCAAGCATCTCCTTCAAGTTATATCTTCGAATCTCTCAACATCTCGGTAGCGTGTAACTTTGCGCGACCTCCGACTCGCCACTATCTGCTTATCGCCGTTTGTATTTGCATCTCTCGCGAACAGCAGCTGATAAGAGATATTGTTGTTCGCTTAAAAATTACCACGGCTTCATCTGGAACGATTACCTTTGTGCGCCATTACTGCTCGGCCTGTTCCGATTGTTGCGTTTTTCGGATCTACGCGATCGCTCTTGCCGGCATCGAACTCACTGGCGGAATCGATCGCGGGGATTGATCGCGCGCCCGACCGAACGCGGCGCGGAATCGCCGTTGGGCCCTTCGTCCTCGCGACACGACGCTCTCGTTTGGTATCCGGCGGACGCGAATCGATTCTCATCGCCGTGCTCGAGATCTGGTTTCGTCCATGCTCGGATGCTGACTGGAGCATCGGGGCGCGTATAGGGCCGGCCAAGGGCCCCGACAGGATATCAGAAGAATAGAAAGGACCTAGGTAGAGGGGGCGATTTTTATATGAAATCCCCACTTTCTGTCCTCTCGCGTACTCTTTTTCTCTCTCTTATTCTTCTTTTCTCCTAGTCCTCTACCTTCTCTCCACCCGTTCTCTCCCTCCGAAAACCCTTCGTCGTTGGGCTTTGCTCGCGGGGTCGCCGAGTTTTTCGAGTTTTAACCCCGACGTGTTCTTCGTGCCTTTCGTTCTGCTCGACGTCATCCAGACGCATCTATGTCCCTGTCCGTACAAAGGATCCAAAATGGCGCCAGGCTCGCCTGCGTAGCGCTGTTTTTCATCGTTGCGGACCCTCTCCACCAGCCTGTCGCATCTCGCGTACATACGCGCCTTACGGAAAAAACAAGACCGGCTAGAAAAACGAACCCGTTTGCGAGCGGGCTGGATTCGAGACGGAGACCGGGGGTTAAGGTCTCTCCAAGTCCATCGACCCCACTCTCACAATCGGATCGATTTTTTTCCCCGTCGTAGGTTTCCTTGAATTTCTTGGGTCGCCTTTTTCGATCCAAGGGACTCCCTTCGTGCCCTCGATATCGCGAACGGTACCTCTAACGGATCTTTGCTTTTCAAGCAAAGCAGAGAGTTTTTTTTTATGCTGTCATTGACCTCGCTCTGAAGAGCGAGGGTGCGTTGTGTACTGGTTGACCGCAGGTTGTCTCCCGAGACCTCGAATTGCAGGGAAACATGATCGGCGATTAGGTCTCATGAAAGTTGTAGGTCGTAGGTTGTTAATTGCGTTTATATTTTGAGAAAAATGATGTTAAAATGAAACAGATGCAGATGAGAAAATTGATGTTAAAATGAAATGGATGCAGATGAAATTTTTGGCTCAGGGTAACATTCAAACCGAGTTCGTAATTGTATCTCGCGTAAATATATTGTAAAATGTCAAATAACGAGAGTATAATTCGGTATGCATCTTATTCCGCAATGAATAATCTCGTTTGCAAGGTCAACGATATATCAAAATCGGAAGACCGGGATCCACACACAAACCGTTGAGATCCAAGACACGATTCTCCTAGCAGCTTACACGTGTGTGCCGCAGTTATACATATTCCACAAATGCTGCAAAAAATGGCACATTAAATGCTTCGTTGTGGAAGCAGAGAATTGATTTTAGAATATCTATCGCGAAAGTACGCTCGCCAATCTTATTCACATAAGATGACGATATGCGCGACCCATTGTAACCGCGTCAGGCGGCTCTAATCATCTTGCCGGATCCGAAATTGTGTCGAGACCGATCGACTCTTACGTCTCACGGGTGCCCTAGAATATAAATCGTATGAACGATCGCGTCATTAATTTGACGATTGACAGATCGTCAGTTAAACGTATAACTGGGGCTTAATAATAACACCGTGGCGCGCGTCGTGGCTCGCAGCCGGCCGCCACCGTAATTCATCCGCGCGAAACTCTGCTTTTCAGCGTCCAATAAATCGCACGAATTCCCGAAGAACAGCGGAAAGTGGAGCAACTCGGCGAGCCGGCGGCCGAAATATCAGCCCGATCTCACAGGCCACGGGGAACACGTCCCGAACAAACGGGTGAAATCAGTGACCACTTTGGGTATCAGAAAGGCCCCGGGGAGATCGGAGCCGCTAGAAAACCGCGTTCCACTGTTCCGCGCCTCTCGGCCAGGCGGTTATGAGAAATATGAAATCTGGTTCTCACGGATTCTGAATGGGGTACAGGCCGTCTCGCTCCCGCACTCGCGCTCGCGCGATCGTCGCTCCACATGCGTATCGTGGGAGGATCTCGAGAACCCGGGTCGCCCTTTGTCAGCCCGGCAGCAGGACATTGTCCATTGAGAAGACGGCCAAACAGGTCCTAGAGAGAGAGTTGACCTGTGTCCTCTGTCCCTTTCAATTGCGCTCTTTTCAAGAAAGGAGAGGAAAAAACCCCTTTCCCGATTTTTGATCGAAATAAATCGTGTGGGCATACAGTTATGCACTAGCAAACCCATCCAGCTGCGTGTCCCGCAGTCGACGTCGACAGCGGGAGCAGCGGGCTTGGACATATCGCGGACGTTCCGGCTGGCCGTGGGCGTCCTGTCGTGCCCCCGTCATGTTTTCCAGAGTATTTCTCTCAGGCGTGCATGGTCATGCGTGGCCTTTAGCTGGCACGACGCAGCGGCGCGTTTCACCTTTCGTGAGACTTGGCTTCGACGTTTCTCGCATCCTCGTGGACTCCTGGGAACGTCGTTGTCGTCGTTGTCGTCGTCGTCGTTGTCGTCGTCGTCGTCGTCGTCGTCGTCGAGTCTCCAATCGCCGCCACGATCGTTTTCACAACTGCGCGCGCGTTACGACGGACGTGGGAAGACGACCGGCTATACGGAACGGAAAAGTTCTGCGCGGCTTCGGTTTCAAAATTGAGACGCCGAGTTAATTACAGGCGAATTAACTTCGCGCGGGATTCGTGGACTAAGAGAGAATTATTGTCGCGGGCGGCACCTCTTTTCTCGGATTATCTCCGCCAGCTGTCGTCGTTTCTTTCGGTCACGAGGAAATTTTAAATGGCCCCACTTTGGGATTTAGCCCTTTGTTTAACACTTAAACGACAAGCTGAAATTATGAGACATAAATGACAAGGTAGGTCAACGTTTCTTGAGATTTTGTTTTCTTTTGCATATTAAAGTTTAGTAAGTTTTGTTTTCTTTTGCATATTAAAGTATTAGGATAAATAAACAATTTAACAAAGAAAATTTTCTTTGCATAAAAATATATTTTTAATGTACCATCTGATTTTGGCGCAAAGTTTCAACGAATTACGTCGGAAAATATACACCGAATGAGGTTATCGCTGACCTCGCATTGTCATTTATGGGTTAAAGAGAAAAAGACAATAATCGTAAGTCAAAATTCACGGATAAATGCACAATATCGAAAAAATTTTCTACAAACATTTTTTAAATTGGACTTACGGCGATTTTGGGAGAATGCTGTACATCGTTAACCGTGATCCGGTTTTACGCGCGTTTTATGGCGAACAATCGGGTTCCCTCAAAGCGTCAATCCCGACACCAAGAAAAAGCGATATTGATACGCTTTTCTTTGTGATCGCGAGCGACCGCAAGACAATATATCGTGAAAATGCCGACAGGCCCGCGCGCGCTGTCATGATACAACCCCATTCAGCGAGATCGGCGGACACGGTTTTTCGTCCAATGATGATGGAACCATGCGCCGATGGTTCGCTTCCATGTTGGCCCACCACCGTGGCCCGACAATGACGGAAAAACAAACGACGGGCAACCGGCAGCGACAACAACGAGGATCGCCAATGGGAAACGCGACGAAACGCAAAGCGTGAAGCCGCACTGGCGGCTTTGTATTGTCCGGCATCGCGGTTTCTCCCTTTTCCCTCCCGCGTCATCTCTCCCGCTTCCTTTCTCTCTCGCACTTGCCGGTTAATTAGAAAGTTCCGCGGTAAAGAGAGGAAAGAGGGGGACGCGGTGAGCGCGGGGCGGATTGCAGGGAGAGGCTCCGGGGCTTCGTTGTTACATTATTCAAAACGTCCTCCCCTTCCCTCCCCCCTCCTTCCCGCACCCTCGCGCGACGAAACTCCGCGCGCGACTACACCGCGCAAAACATCCGAATGCGAACTTTTGACAACGCGCGAAGTGCCGAAGCGTGTCACGCGAAATAATTAACGATCGCGCGAGTTTTCTCGGGCGAGAATTAATGCGCGTCCGCGAAGCTCGTCGTCATTTTCGAATTGTGTGTCTCCCCACGTACAAGCAACCTGGAAGGTGTCGTCATGGTGGTTCCCCGCGACGTGACGCGCCTCGCGCGATTCGCCAAGTGACAAATTTATTCGCGGTTCGACACTTCGCACCGCTGCCGAACATTTTGTCCGTAACTTTCCACACCGTATTACTGGATCACAACTATTACGTATTTACGTGTAACACGCCGCAGCGATATCGAGTGTGTTGCGAGATACACTAACCCGTCGACTGAGAGGAAGGGAAAGAGACACCCCTGAAATATCTGCACGCAAAAAAATATTGTTCTATCGCTAAGAAAAGATTATTTAGCTTATTTTCTTTTTCTTAAGTTATCTTCAACAAACAATATTTTCTCTTGATCATAAAAAAATTTCAAAATATATTTATCACAAATTTTAGAAAAGAGTTCATTATATATATATATATATATATATATAGTGTGCTCGAAAAAAGAATTTATTCTCTTTACAAAGATTATCGTCAAACTTTGTCAAAGAAAAACAATGGTTCGACTCTATGCACAGACCGAATTTTCCATTTAATTTAATATTCTTTGGTTGAGCTATTAAAACTTACTAGGATTCAAAATGTATTATGTATAAATTTGATGAACTTATGGTAGATATTTGCGGATATATAAACTTATGAAATATTTGAAACGAATACCATTTAGCGGTACGTATTCTTCTGCGTGTGGGCTACGCCCTTTCCGCTATTTTTGACACCATGTTAAAAAAAATTAACGATTGTGCGGCGTTTTGTTTCACGCAACATCGCAAATTCATTGAAGAGAATAACTCCAAACAATTCGATTATAATAGATCAAGCCCAGCATTGGAGTTTATCAATGTAACAATGTAATTGCGTAATTGTATCACGACGAATCTCGACGTTCAATTAGCGTTGACGCAAAATATTAA